TAATAGCTAAAGGATAGGTTGGAAAAATCAAACCTTTATTTCTCTGGCAGATATTTACAAAGTAGAAACATCTGTTTCAATTGTTGTGGGACAATCTATGCTCACTGTGGGGCAGTTAGAAAGCCAGGGCATTTTTGTAAACCTTTCCATGAGTTAACATTTGATGCCTTCCTCTGGCTCTTCCCAAACTTTCTCCATGGCTCTTGCAGACTGGCCAGAAATTATTGACTGACTTAACTGCCTTGTGGAAACCTCTGTAATTACCATGGCCCAGACATTTAAAAAACTATTTGCTTATCAGATCTTTTCCTGAACTCAGAATTGACCCAAAAATATTTGTCTCTCAAGCATATTACCAGTGTCATTATTGCCTCAATAAACTCTTTATGCTGATAGAAAATAAACTCTTTTATTTCCATGTGAAATCATCATGCTTTAGTATTTCCAGACTTCATTCATTCATTCATTCATTCAGGGAATCACATGATAAAGAAAAAAGCTAAAGTCAGCATAGTAATTTTCATATTTTGCTAAAAACTTTGTTTCAATTAATTTTAGAATATAAAGATACCACACTGTTAAATCTACCATTGGCCTTGTTGCTGGTATAAATAGAGTATTTGGTTTTCCATCATTGGCTTTCTGTCATGGCTCTTTTTCCATATTCTAGATGGACTCCAGCAAAATAAATAGAATAAGGTCCTTGACCTGGAGAAGACGAGGTTTTCAGGGAGCAGATATAGTAGGAAAGAGTAGGGCTGGCCTGTGAACCAGGTGGCATTATAAAGGACATGTGAGAGAGTCCAGTGGGGAGCACTCCCTTGATCCTCTCTCTGCAGAGCCAAGAAAGCCATACATGCTAAAAAGACAAGACATTCTCATTCACCAGCATACATACCCCTGACGCAAGAAATGAGTGCTGTCTGTGTGAGACCTGACTCTGGCGTATCAGAGCCCAGTTTCTAGAGTTTATATTGACACAGTTTGATCAAAGAATCATATTCTTCTACATGAACTGATCTACTCAGTGGGAAAAGGTTTGCATGCCGATGTGTAAGTGACCACTTAGGAAAAATATAAAATATCTTGTCTTTGCCCTAAAAACCAGAAAATGCAGAAAACTTTTCCTGTTCTTTAAGACAACATTCTCAGGACTTGTGTACTGTCTATGTGCTCAGGAATGAAAAGCTATTAGAAAAGGAGAGAAAACACAGGGGAGATGCGGGGGAGACATGTTTTATCCATTTTAAAGTGTAAGCACCAGTAATTTATTTTTTTACCTGATATTCAACTTTTTTTTTTTTTTGAGACAGATTCTCACCCTGTCACTCAGGGTTCAAGTGATTCTCCTGCCTCAGCCTCCCGAGTAGCTGGGACTACAGGCACGGGCTGTTACACCTGGCTAATTTTTAGTAAAGACAGTATTTTTAGTAACGACAGGGTTTCACCATGTTGTCCTGGCTAGTCTCAAACTCCTGACCTCACCTCAAGTAATCCTCCCTCCTCAGCCTCCCAAATTGCCGGGTTACAGATATGAGCCACCGCACTTGGCCTCTGATGTTCAACTTTTTGATGAGTAGTAGATAGAAAGCAGACAGAGGTGTTTTGAAGGAGTGATGGCTGTTTTCTCTCTGCCTACGAGAGTGGAATCCTTGACTCACGCTTGTAATCTCAGCACTTTGGGAGGCTGAGGCGGGCGGATCACGAGGTCAAGAGATGGAGACCATCCTGGTTAACACGGTGAAACCCCATCTCTACTAAAAATACAAAAAATGTAGCCAGGCATGGTGGCAGTCACCTGTAGTCCCAGCTACTTGGGAGGCTGAGGCAGGAGAATGGCATGAACCCGGGAGGCGGAGCTTGCAGTGAGCCGAGATTGCGCCACCACACTGAAGCCTGGGTGACAGAGTGAGACTCCATCTCAAAAAAAAAAACCCAAAGAGTGGAATCTTGCCTGGCAAAGGATGGAGGGGATCTCTGAGGTCAAACTGATGACAGTTACATTGATTAATCACTTGTGTAAAAATGGGACAAAGTAGAAATCAAGTATGTTTCAGAAAGTGTCCCTCTTTCCTTTGATGTATGTCTTAGTACCCTCTAGTGGTGTCAGCCTAACATTTTCTTACATGTAACGTGATCCTGACAGACAAGTTCAGCGTTTGCAAGCCACGTCTTTGTATACTTATGTATGAGGTAATCAGCTAAAAGTCAACAAACTTTTTTTCATCAAATTCCAACCTCCTAGCTTCTATCTAAGATATTGAATTGGCAGGAAAGGTTATTAGTATTCATTTTATTCCTAAGACTAAAGAGTTATAATTCTTCACTATTTCTCCTAGCTCAGAGCTGAGTTGAGAAGAAACACTTTAGCTATGTTGGCAATTTATGGCATAGGAATATATCACATTTTAATTAAGCATCACATATTTTTGAAGACTTGTTCACACATGTAAAGAAGTTCCATTCTAAGGCTGTCCCTGCCAAATGACAAATACTTGGTAATCACCAAATTGGTGTTGTGGGAGTGGGTTAGTGACTACTCATCAAGCTTTTCATGAAAACCCCAGATTTATAGCCTCTTAATTTGTTCTGAACCCTTGCCCTGAGTATATTAATTCACCCTCTAATTTTTTTTTTTTTTTTGGCAAATATGGTCAGCATGTCTTTCTGCTTTATGAAAATGTCAGAGATGAGTATAAAGATAGGTCGATAACCACAGGGAAAAAAACCCAAGAAATCTAAACACCAGTAACTTGCAAAGGAAGCTTCGATGTATAATATAGAGTCGTGTGCATCTCATGATGTTTCACTAAAAAATTCCTATAAACAGAAGAGAATTCTTACCTGAAAATCTGTGAGTATAACCTGGTGAAGATTACCTTTTACCTTCAAATTTTAGGTACATGCAAATGCTATTTTTAAGGAAGACTTTTCGAATTATGAAAGTGCCAAGACATGCTTATTGTAAAAATTTTGAAAAGTACAAAAAAAATTGAAGAAAATGCTAATCCTAAAAACCATAAAACTTAGATCTACTTCCTTCCAACCTTCTTTTCTGTGTGTATTGTGGTGTAATGGAAATTATATTCTATGTTATAATTTGTGCCCCACTGTGTTTTCTTTAACAAATAAGCATTTTCCTATCTTGTTAATGATTATATGCTATGCTGTATGTATAATTCATTGTTTTGTGTTATTGCCAGTCACTTCAGTTTAGGTAATCACGTTAGTTACCCATGTTTTTAGCCTTTTGAATTATTCTTCCTATAATTTGATAATCTATTGACTATAAACAAATGTATTCTCCTGAAAGTGAATTAACATAACTAGGGTCACAAAAGGTATAAGTAATTTGTAAATACATGGGGTATGCATACATTTCTCATACATCCAGGTGACTTTGTGTAAAATGCTGAAGTTCATATGCTCCTTTTTCAAATGACTTGCATGAGTAGTCTTAAAGTCACAGCATAGTGAATACTTTATGAAAAATGAAGCATGTGGTTTTGGTTTTGGAGAGCAACTTCAACCCCAATTTAGGTCATTTCCATAGTGAACCTTTGTTAAAGCACTGTTTTCCACATCCTTTTGCTGCAGAGTAGACAGTGTGTTATTACCAAGAATAGCCCACCTGCTTTTCTTCTCATTCAAACCACAGACCTCTCTAACAAAACTGTGCTCTTAAGTTGTCATGCTCAGAGACATCAAACTATTTACCTTGGAGGGTCCCTTGGCCTCATTCATACCAGCCTCTCTTTCGAGCCTTGTTTACTATATGATGACAGATAATAACCCAAGGTAGTATTGGTATAAATGTATTGGTTTTTAAATATAATCTTAAATGACTTCAGTATGAACAATAATAATGGATAACTTTTATTGAGCACATATAATGTGCCAGGCATTGGCTACATGCATTATTTAGGGTATATCTTTCGTTCTTATACTTTGAAGTTGAAACTCGGATTATTTCCATTTTACACATGTAGAAAAGTGAGGCGTAGAATGGTGAGGTCACTTGCCCCATATTGCAGAACCGTAAAGGGCAGCAGGATTTGTGCCTGCACTGTCTCGAGCCAGTGCTTCTAACCATCAGCTCTGCCACCTTCAGTAGGCCAGTATACCTTCTTACAAAGGTCATTGGAAACAGAAAATCTTAAGGGAGTAATTAATCTCAGAAGGCCCCCTTTGAGTCCTTGGGTTTTTTTTTTTTTTTTATGGACTCCACCTAACCATGGACTCCTAAGACCCTCCCTCCACTGTAGTGTATGTCTGTGAGTAGACTGAGGACTTGAACAGAGCTAATCTGTACATGCTATATAGAGGAAGCCAGTCTTACATAGGGCTCAGTAAGGGAGTAAGGGAGGAATTTAACAGAAAAGATTTGGGTAAAGATTTCTACTTTACCACTAGAAATAAAATATGTTCACGTTGAAATTGGCAAATAAGAGTAAGATACACCAAGAACTTTTTCTTTGTTTAGAAGTGGGAGGTCTTTGAGGGGACTGATGAGAAATTTTGGAGGAGATTGGATGTGTTTGTTGAAACTCAAATATGGCCTGCTAAAGAATGGAAAGTTACAATGTGTTTCTTATCAATAGATAAGAAATCTCTTATCTATTGGTGATTCAAACTCTATCATCTAAGATGAACTACAGGGAATAGAAACTCATTAATAGGCCATTTTGGAAACTGTTTTATTAATAATTGATTTTCTTACAACTTACAACATGGCCTTTTTCTGAGTTTCTACTCACTTCAGTTCATCTTAAAAATGGTTTCACTAGGAACTATTGATGGCCTTGGATGGGACTAACTCATCTATTATAAAGTAATCACATGAATTTATACTTGCTGTCAGAGGTCACCTTTGTCTTCTAAATGCAGAGCTGGCAATAATTTGCTAATTGGTCAGGAAACACAAATTAATGCTTTGCAAGTAGCAGTGAAATCTGTTCGTTTCTGTGGGTTTTTTCACATTATTTTATTTACTTTTAAAGAAATCAATGAATGTACTGTGAACCCTGATATCTGTGGAGCAGGACACTGCATTAACCTGCCGGTGAGATACACCTGTATATGCTACGAGGGCTACAAGTTCAGTGAACAACAGAGGAAATGTGTGGGTAAGAGACAATTTTGATTGACTGAATTATTAAATATCAAACATTTGCACATTAAGAACATGTTTTTTCTTAAACCAACCTAACCATTTTGGGAAAATGTTACTGGTTTAATTTTTTGAAAGTTTATCCCTTAGCTAAGGGAGCTCAAAAAAAGGTTTGCTAAACCTTTTTTTGAATTCTCTTACCTCTTTGTTCAACATTTGTTTACCTCGCCAAATGTAATACATTTACATAAAGGTGAAATAATTTCTAAAAGCTTTTTGGATAAAGTAAAGAAAATATGAATTCCAGAAACAGCTACCTAAAAACATGTATTTAGCAAAAACAAATTAACATTAATGTATACTGCAGTAAAGAATTACTTTCATTTATGTACGTAAGATTTGATTTTTTAAAGGGATTTTAAAATTGAAAATCCATATATGCTGGCCTGAAGGTGTCAGTCAAGTTAGAAATTTAGGGATCTCATATATGCTCCTTTTGGGAAAAAAAAAGTATCTCAGAAAGATATGCAATAGAGTTAAATAAATCATTTTAATGTAACTCTAAATTTAATTTCTCTTCTTTTTTAAGAAAAAGAAAATTCAGCACTAAATTATAAGGCCAGTGAGAAGCAACAAAGGCACATATCTAATTAATACTACTTTAATATATGTGAATTTTGCTGTTTGGTCTGTGTGTGTGGGAGGGGGAAGGAGACAACCACCTGCTCCATAATATGGCTATTTCCCTGTCATTTGCATACATTGTATATATCACATTTAGAACCTAGAATATTAAGTTGGAAAGGCAACAGAGATGACCTAATCCGTCTCTTTCATGGCATTTCTGACTCCCTGCTGACAGCAAATTCCATTGCTTGGACGTCTCTCATTATCAGGAGAATCCTTCTGTGTTGACCTGAAATCTGCCTCTTTGAAACACCATTGTCATGGTTTTGTAGTTTTGGCCTTTGAAGTGACACACAGTAGGCTGCTTCTCTCTTCCAGTAACAATCCTTCAAGCACGTGAGGAGAAAGATCGTGTCTCCTTTTGCTGTTGTCCTCAGTTATAAAGGTTGGATGGTACTCAGGGAATAGTATGATGGTATTTTACAGAACAGGGAAACTAAGTTCTTGCTACACAGAATTAATGTTTTTTATATGTATTTTTGTTAACAGATATTGATGAGTGTACTCAGGTCCAACACCTCTGCTCCCAGGGACGCTGTGAAAACACCGAGGGAAGTTTCCTGTGTATTTGCCCTGCAGGATTTATGGCCAGTGAGGAGGGGACTAACTGTATAGGTAACGGCATTGTTCTTCCTGATTACAAATGCTTAGATCTGAGTTTTTAGATCCCCTAAGGCTATCAGTTCAGTGCTTATCCACACAACCCAGAATTTTTTATTAAACACTTACCATGATAGCAATCTGCTAGATCCCCAGTGATATAAAAATGGATTTCTTTCCCCTAACATTTTTGAAGAAAGAGTATCAAATATGTGCACAGACAAGATACATTAAATGTTACTTTTGGACCACCCTGCATGAATCAAAACTGGATGATTTTGATGTGTGTCAAACAAATCAGAGGGAAAGCAGAAATCAGTTACTGGCCAGGCGCGGTGGCTCATACCTGTAATCCCAGCACTTTGGGAGGCCAAGGCGGGTGGATCACCTGAGGTCAGGAGTTTGAGACCAGCCTGACCAACATGGAGAAACCCTGTCTCTACTAAAAATACAGAATTAGCCAGGTGTGGTGGCGCATGCCTCTAATCCCAGCTACTCAGGAGACTGGCGCAGGAGAATCGCTTGAACCCGGGAGGTGGAGGTTGCAGTGAGCCGAGATCGCACCATTACACTCCAGCCTGGGCAACAAGAGCGAAACTCCATCTCAAAAAAAAAAAAAGAAGAAAAAGAAAAGAAATCAGTTACTTCGTTATTATATTTGAGCTAAGCTGGGAGACGGGAGAGGTTTGAAATAATATTTGGAACACAAAACTCAATAATGCTCTCTGCTCCTCGTAGATGTTGACGAATGCCTGAGGCCGGACGTCTGTGGGGAGGGGCACTGTGTCAATACTGTGGGGGCCTTCCGGTGTGAATACTGCGACAGCGGGTACCGCATGACCCAGAGAGGCCGTTGTGAGGGTGAGTCAGCTGTGAGTGTTCAGCACACATGACCGTGACGTGCAGGGTTGGTAGGTACCTTGCCTGGTTCTTGTTTCCTTCCACACTCCATACTTGACACCAGTTTATCCAAGCTCTTTCTGCTTCCTGGATTCACAGGCTCTTTGCCTCCTCCTTTCAGTGGCTCTTTTGGGATTATTTTCCATCTTCATGCTCTCATTATTTTTCACCTCAATATCTGCCTTTCTGGTATTTGGAGTGAAATCACCATAGAATGATTAATTGCATCATGTTTAGTACAAACCCAGACTTAATTACAGAGTCCGGACCATTCATCTGGGAACATGGTGCAGGTGTAACCAGTGTTGATTTTTTGTTTTTGACCTTTTCACCTACTCACATTCCTTTGTCTCCACTGCTTTCTTTTACATGTGTTCTGGGACTTTCTCACAGACTCCCTAAGAAGCATGGTCTGACCAACTTTGGTCAGATTCCAACTGTGCTAGATAAAATTTCCTCATTATTGACCATAGCAATGAGTTTTCTCTCATTATAAAAATGTTATAAAAAATGTTTATAGCGTGGCCACAATTCTTATCCTTTTCATATTTCTGTTCATGTTTGTGTCCAAGTTGCTCTGGTTCTTTTTTGAAACCACTGTGGCGAGGCCAGGCACAGCGGCTCACGCCTGTAATCCCAGTGCTTTGGGGGGTCGAAGCAGGTAGATCACTTGAGGCCAGGAGTTTGAGACCAGCCTGGCCAACATGCTGAAACTCCCTCTCTCCTAAAAATACAAAAATTAGCCAGACGTGATGGCGCACGCCTGTAATCCCAGCTACTTGGGAGGCTGAGGCACAAGAATCACTTGAACCTAGGAGGCAGAGGTTGCAGTGAGCTGAGATCATGCCACTGCACTCCAGCCCAGGTGACAGAGCAAAACCTGTCTCCAAAAAACAAAACAAAAAAAACACTATGTCACTTTTTTTTTTTTTTTGCAATTATTTTCATGAAGAAATACACTGACCTTCTGCTAAAAACCTGCCATGGAAATACGAGGGTGAAGGAACATGGGGTCTCTGAGGGCACGAGAGCATGGTGCTGGTTCCTTGGGGTTTCCTACCTGGCTGTCAGCAGAGCCTAATAGATTTGGGCTCTGTTAGCTGGGGCAGGATGGACTAGGTTGGCACAGCCAGCCCTCAGCTGTCCCCTGGCTTCTGCATGTTGGTTTTCTTCACCGCTCTAATGACCCAGGCCTGGAGGGAGAGCTAATTAGACATTTTTGGCAGCCTACGCTTGCCTCTCCTGCTGGCGTCTTGCCTCTGCCCCTTGGGTTCTAATCTAGAGAGAAGTGGGAGTGTTTTATGTTGCTGGATCTCTGATCAGCTTGGATCAGAATGGAGCCTTGTACCCTCCCCAAGGGCCATGAGGCTACAGAACAAGCACAGGTGTAAAGTGTCTCCACTCTGCTCTTCCAGGGAACTCTCTGCTGTAGAGATGCAGTGTGGGATCAGCTCACCAAGCCCACGCTTAGTAACTTCCTGACCTGCAGCCATTGACTTTGCCCCTTGAAACGTAGTACATCACCTGTAAAATGGGAACGATGGAGTTAACTTTCCAGGTTTTCATGAAAATAACTTCATGTTGCCGGAACTTGTATGATGCCTGTCACTTTGTTAGTTTTCAAGAAATTATAGTTTCTTTAAATCTCCCCCATCCCTGACTCCTTTTGTGTTTGTATAGATCTCAAGTACCTCTGTAGTTGCAGGGAGCGCTTTAAAAAAACGGGGTAAGTTTATTTGACAAGCATTTATGTGCAGAGCAGTATCCCCCAACCCCCAACAAAGAAGTCAAATACTGATTCTTTTTATTTATTTATTTATTTATTTTTTGAGACAGTCTCGCTCTGTTGCCCAACCTGGAGTACAGTGGCACAATCTCGGCTCACTGCAAGCTCTGCCTCCTGGGTTCATGCCATTCTCCTGCCTCAGCCTCCTGAGTAAGTGGGACTACAGGTCCCCGCCACCACGCCCAGCTAATTTTTTTTTTTTTTTTTAAGTAGAGATGGGGTTTCACCATGTTAGCCAGGATGGTCTCGATCTCCTGACCACCAGATCCACCCGCCTTGGCCTCCCAAAGTGCTGAGATTACAGGCGTGAGCCACCGCACCTGGCCCAAATACTGATTCTTAAGTTCCACATACGTGTCAAGAATGGGAAGATAAGATACTTAAGTAATAGGATGAAAAGGAATAGAAAAGAAATTGAAAAATTATGTACTTAAATTGGAAGCTTGGAGAATATTCTGTAATATTCAATATATGAAAATTATTTAGCAGAAAGATGACTCAGGTTCCCTGAGTAAATAATATATGATTCTATCCCCATGAAAAGTCTTGAAAAGAGGAAGGAGCCAAGCAACGCGGCTGTTTTCAAATTTCATCATGGACTAGAACCAAACGTCCCCGGGCTTCTGGCTCACAGAAGATTTTCTCAGCTGTCACTAACAAAGTTGCTTTCAAATAGCACCAGTCTCCAAGGAGTCTATTGTAGTTTACAGACATTATCTCATGCATCCTTACTTTATTCTGTTAAGGTATTACAAGGCACAGGTAATTCCTAATTTATAGAAGAGGGGAAAAGCAGAGGTGAGAGCAGCTAGAAATTCAGGGACGTTATCTTGTATTGCTCAACATTGCACCTTATTTATTGGACCAGCCTGTCTCAATGACATTCTCTGATTTAGCAGTTGTAGTTCTATTCTTTGGAAATATCCCATCCAGAGGAGAATGTAATGCTATTTGGAAAATGAAACTGGCAAGCATCATCTTTTTGTAGAACAAGAAGTCCCAGAACATCTGACCTAAAAAAACCACTATGTGTCATTGGCCATTGGCAAGAATTTTTACTGATAGAAAAAAAATTACAACACTGACCTGGTGCTTATTTTGTTAATATCATCTTCAACTTTTTCACTTTAAGTGTCTTTTCACATGTCTAACGATATGCAATGGGAGATAACTTTTAAGTATTTACTAGAATATAGACATCAAATACCCATGGATATTTAGTGGACCCGTTATATATTTCTTTCTTTCTTTCTCTAGTTTATGTCCTGAAAATCTGTTTATATTTTAAGTACGATTAAAGGTCATATATGCATTGTGTATTGGGATACTTAAACATTAAATCCACTCATATAAATTCAAGATCCACCTCAGAAAAAACACTTATTTCAAATGCAGCTAGAAGCCATGGTGTTAACACCTATTTTAAACTGTTGAACTCTCTCCTATATTGTTTTCCTCATTTTGTTGTTTGACAATTCTTAAAAATGCCTCAAGCTGTCGTAGTAGTTATCTCTGGCACAGACTTAACCATATTTTAGGTGATTTTTTTTCTCCCCAAATTGGAAAGAATGATGAATAATAACTTCAGTTAGCTGTGAATATGAAAAGTAAGGTGTATTTTTACCAGAAAATATTACCATATGGTCATATCACCATGTTTTCTGGAAAGGCTTGGAAGTATGTGATGAGTTCACTCTCTCCTCGGGTTTTTTTTTTTTTTTTCCAACCTCCAAGGAATTCCTGTCATATGAAAGGTTTTAAATTATTCAAACCTAGGATGTTCTTGGGCCCATGAAGCCCAAGAGAGAATTTCCCTAGAGCATCCAATGTCTGCAGAGAGAACGTCTAGCTGGGTGGATACATGGCTTCCTCACACTCACCGCCCCCCCATTCCTCATATTTCTTTCTGGAAAGCTGTGCTATTACTTGAAAGGTTTCGTGTCCAGAAATTGGCCCTAAAGGAGCTGCCAACTCCCAGAGTGGAGAGACCAGGTCCTGCTAGTTGAAGAATTGGGGCCAGGTTCTTCCTTGGAATGTATGCAAATATTTTAATCCAGATATGCTTGACCATGCATTATTGCCATGTATTTAAGTATACACCCAATGTCTCACTTACCCAATTGTTGTTTTTCCCACTGAAATGTAGATATAACATGCTTTCCCTCCCTGCCTTCATCACAAAGTAAGATTTTGCTTTGGTATTCTGATAAAATGTTCACAACCTACCTTTTTGATTTTTCAGATATTGATGAATGTTTGAATCCAAGTACTTGTCCAGATGAGCAGTGTGTGAATTCTCCTGGATCTTACCAGTGTGTTCCCTGCACAGAAGGATTCCGAGGCTGGAACGGACAGTGCCTTGGTAGGTACTATAGTGTACTTGTCAAAGGTCTTTTGGTTCTGCATGGCCCATTTTCTGATAGAGTGGTGAAATGCCGATGGAGCCCTCTTTCAAAATGAAAAAAAATGAAATCTTATACAATTCTAAGAAAAGTTGCCAGTAACTTTTAACCATTGAGAAAATAAGAAAATGACTTAGCATGAAAGATGTAAGATTCTAGATGGGGCAAATAATTAGGATTGAAACAAACTGTTATTCCTAATGAGATAAATATCCAAAACCAAATAAGATAGTAAGGTCTACAGGAGAGAAGAGAGATGGAGAGCAAAACACTTAAGAAGAGAGAAGAAGCCTAAGAAGCATCTATCACAGACAAGTAGAATTAGGTAACACACGCACACAATTTTCAACAGAAGTAGCAAAGGTAGTGCTTTAGGCACTGAGGAAGATACAGTAATAAATTTGCTTTGATTCTAATTACCTGTGCTGTAGTTAGCTCTCCCCATTAATGGTTTTCATTTGTGTCTACCATGCTGTCTTCTCCCCTAAAATCTGAACTCTTTTCCACTCCATACCAGAACTCTGAATATGTGAGTTAAAATTTTCATTCATTCATTCCTTCTTTCCTTTCTCCCTCAAATGCTTAAGAACTTGCTATAGGCTATGCACGGTGGCTCATGCCTGTAACCCCAGAACTTTGGAAGGCCGAGACACAAGGATCACTTGAGGCCAGGAGTTTGACACCAGCCTGGGCAGCATAGCAAGACCTCATCCCTACAAAATGTTAAAAAACTTACCTGGGCTTGGTGGTGTGTGCCTGTAATCTCAGCTACTTGGAGGCTGAGGTGGGAGGATCGCTTGAGTCCAGGAGTTCGAGGTTTCAGTGAGCTATGATTGTGCCACTGCTCTCCAGCCTGGAGGACAGTGAGACCCTGTGTCTGAAATATGAAACAAAAGGCAAAACCTACTGTATATCCCAAGAGTTGTACTAAGTTCTGGGATGTATTGAGAGGATGACCCCTTCCTTTTGGTACTTACTGTCTGGTGGGGGAGACTGACATGCACTCAAACATCTCATAGATAAATGCAAACTCACAGATGAGACAAGCACTAGAAAGGAGGGTTCTATGATGCTGTGAGAGCAAATGATAGAATGAGCTGCCCTTAGGAAAATTCTTGAGTTGAGGTTCAACTGGTGAGGAGGGGGTGGGAGGGAGAACTTTTCAGGCACAGTAAACAGCATATGCCAGGGGTTCGTGGAAGAAGAAGAGAGCAGAAGGCCAGTGTAGCTGAAGGCCAGAGAACACGGGAAGATTTGCTGCAAGATGAGATGACAGACCACTGAATAATTTAAAGCCCTCTTAGTCCTGTTAAAACTGGCAGTCTTCATTCTCATAGCCCTGGGAAGACATTTAGGTGTTTTAATGGAGGTTGCAGAAGCACCGTCAGTTTTAAAGCTTTAGTCTTATCACCAAGCAGCATCAGCTCAGACTCTGTAGCTGGTACGGAGAGCTCCGTGTCCTGAGCCCCTAGGCCCAGCCCCAACCCAAGAGTTTCTGCTGATGGAGTTGTGAGATGTAGATCTTTGAAGAAAAGATTTTTGTTCATTAGTTGTTTATTTGATAACCAATTGTTTATGTAACTGGTACTGGCCAGAAAGTATTAATACGTAGGGTTTCAGTTTTCCCATTTGGCATAAATTTCATAGTTGCCTATCAGGGTTCCATGTGTATCCTCATTTTCACATCCTGATAAATAATCCAGGAGCAGAGCCTGAAGTCTACCTTAAATAACTACAATTCATAATAGTAGTATAAACACAGCCCTGATTCATGAATTTATTAGTGGAATGTGACTGACCAAATTGGCAAGTGATTTTTCTTCAATATAAGTAATACTAAATGAATTATTATACCTACATGTGCATATGTATAAACTTTAGTGACAGAAGCACAGCACCTCATTTAAAACTAATTGTACTTTTGTCAACCAGATGAGTAGAATCATAAGCAGAAATATTAGATCACTGCATTTCTCAATTCCGCCAAAGTCCCACATTTAGCCCCCTGTTTTGTTTTTGCATTGCTGAGGTCATGTATTTCCTATTGTTAAATGGAGGCAGTGTCCTTTATCTTTCTGCTTTGGCTAAAATTTTAGGCTCTGCATAATCTACAGATGAAGCCACTCCCCCAAGGTTTAATTGCAGTTCCATCCATTGTTCATATTGGACTTGCAGCTCTTCTAAATTTCTCCTGAGGGCCTTTGCAGGTTATACTGAAATAGATTTTCCATCTTAATTTTTTATAGTAGTAGAGCTTTCAAGTGTTGAGAAGTTGACTGTGACAAAAAGCAGATATTGCAGCATGCCTTTCTACTTACATTGAGCCAATGGGTGGGTTGGAGTTTTCTGCTAAACCCTGACCATGTTCATGACTGTCCAGCCCTAGCTTTGTACTTCTGGTACTCTAACATACCTTTCAGAAGGCGCAGTCTTGTCTTAAGCCTAGTTTTGAGTTGAGCTCAACACTAACGTAACTTGATATATATTCATTCATTTAACAAATACGGAGTGTCTACCATGTGCCAGGTATTTTTCCAGAATACTGGGAACTGAGAGTGACTAAAATAGGCTGGGTGCAGTGGCTCATGACTGTAATACCAGCACTTTTGGAGGCCGAGGCGGGGCAGATCATGAGGTCAAGAGATTGAGACCATCCTGGCCAACATGGTGAAACCTCCTCTCTACTAAAAGTACAAAAATTAGCTGGGCGTGGTAGCACGCACCTATAGTCCCAGCTACTCAAGAGGGTGAGGCAGGAGAATCGCTTGAACCTGGGAGGCAGAGGTTGCAGTGAGCTGAGATTGCACCACTGCACTCCAGCATGGTGACAGAGCAAGACTCCATCTCGAAAAAATAAAAAAAAAAAGAGTGAATAAAAAAAGTTTCTACCTTCATTTTAGTTATACTCTGGTGCTTACATTGTGCTTGCAAATAAACACAAGCAAGTACAATATATCAGATGTCAGATGTGGTGCATGATGTGAAGAAAAGTAGAGAAAAAGATTCGGAGTCTTTAGAGATCCCATGGTGGTCAGGATAGTCAAATACTAAGTTATTAACATGCTGTTCCTGGCTAGTCATTTGTTTTGTCTCTAACCGTTACCTGTGATTATATCCTCTTAGTTCCGATATTTTATTATATATTGGTGAAATTTTTGCCCCAATTTTTAATGACAATTCTCTGTGATAACATTAAAGACTCTTTAAAAATTTCTTGTAATCACACCATTTTGGTGAAAAATCCTACATTTGGCATTTGTTAGTTGCCATCTGTAGAGATGATATCTATCTCACAGGGGTGTTCTGTAAATCTTAGTATCTTTTTTTCTACAACTCTCCTCTCACTGAGTACATGTTTTTACATTGTTATAATCAAACATGTACAATGTTTTATATAACATTTCTTAAATTTGGCATTATGCTTATAGTTTTTTTCTAAACTCATCTATCTTCTTGTTGATTTGTCTCTCTTTCTATTGAATGATTTCATTAAGCATTACTATTCAACCCCTATATTCTGCAGGGATTTTATACCAGTTAGACTTTCTGCTTCTTTCACAGACCAAATGATGAACTTGGTGAAACCATTAATGGCCTCTTTGTATTCATGCCATGTAAGCTGGATCTTACTGATTGATGCTTCTCTTGATTTATAAATTAGAGCAGAAATTGTTTTGGGCAGAAGTAGGCAAAATGTTAGCAGGTGTTGTCTGAGGGATTACTTTTTTTCCCTGGTGTTTAGCTCAGGTCATACAATCCCTCATCCTCAATAGTTTATTATCCACTTCAAATATCTATCATTGCAGACTCTACCTAACACACATCATCCCTAATGCTTTTTGGCAACTCTTGTTGGCTCTTCTGTTAATGTAGCTTCTTCTTTCAAGTCGTGGATTTCATTCTTCTCTTGAGAGTCACGTTCGTCATTCAGCACTGTATTCCTTGGACCTGACATTCAGACTGGAGTTGCTGTCCACTCGATCCCCACCTTTAATAACTATTTCGTCACTCTGGGTTCTGGCCAGTTCCAAATGGCTGTTTCAACCAGGTCCTTTCTTAAGGGAAGCCAGCCTGTCGGGTACTCAGTTTACAGGTTCTTCTTGACTTGTGGAGAGCTGGCCTGTTTCAAACCCGATGAGAGCCATCCCCCAAGGAAACTCTGTAATATTTAATTATTTAAAGATACATTTGATATTGCTAATGTAGAGATCTTAGTTCCCTGAATTTAGACAGAGTTTGGGCTGCATGACCTCTCTGAAGCTTAGTTTTATTATCTGTAAAATGGGGTTGAAATACTTACTTTTTAAGGTTTATTGCCAGAATGAAATAAGCAGTATGAAGCACTTAGTAGGCATCTGACAGACACATGGTGGAACCCCATCCATGCTACAACCCTTCTTCCCCCAACTATTACTCTCCTCTGTACTGCTCTCAAACATAAGAGGGCGGTAATAACTGATACTTCTGTGTAATGTAATTATCACATTCTTTGGTTTTTTTTTTTTTTTGTTAATGGTGTCTTTGTTGCCCAGGGCTTGTTGTGTTTGTGTGTTGATCTCTTGTGTTGTCTCATGTCAACCTCGCGTCTTCCAGTTGTGTTATTGCGATTCTCCTGCCCTTCAACCTCCCAAAAGTAGCTGTGGGATTACAGGTGCCCGCCATCACGCTTTGGGGCTAGATTTTTGTATTTTAGTAGAGAATGGGGTTCACCATTGTTGGTCAGGCTGGCCTCGAACTCCTGACCTCAGGAGATCCACCCCACCTCAACCTCCCAAAGTGTTTGGATTACCAGGGCCGTAAGCCACCCGTGCCCGGGGCAGAAGCATTCTCTTAACTATATTCTCTTTGGCTTTTGAGCTCATGTCATATAGTTTTTTAATTCTTCTCCATGTCATGGAGCATTCTTCTTTTTTGTTTTTTTTTTTTTTGTGTTTTTTTTTTGAGAACGGAGTCTCCCTCT